TTTTTTTTTTATTTTTTTTTTTTTTTTTTTTTTTTTTGATGTCGTTTCACCAGAATTGGCACGTCTTTGAGCCAACACAACTGGAATCGCCTTTACAAGAAGGAGGCAAAAATGATTTTTTCTGTGGCTAAAGTGGCCAGACCCATGCAGGCAACCACCCAGCCTTGGTAACATCTCAAATCGTTGGTTTGCACAAACACAGTTTTGCAGCAGGAGACACGGAAGAAACAGGGCCGTCTGCAGGTGTGCGTGGAGGTTTCTGCAGGAAACCAGAAAATAAAGTCAAGCTCCTGCCATCCTTCAGCCCTCTCTGCTCTCCCAAAACAAAAGCCGAATTCTCCCATTTCCCTGGGCATCTCCATCCCCGGGTTGGGGACGTAACAGCACTCCACCATCGCTTACCCATAGGCAGCAGTCAGAGACAATAACCAGAGAGAAATCAGTATAATCCCCCTTTTATTTTCACTTTGTTGTGAGTATGTAACAGCATCACACCCGAGTTTATGTTTGTTTAAAAAAATAATCTCATACTGCGTTTTGTTTTCCCCAACATTCAGGATAAATGGTAAAAATGTAATAAATGTAAACTGCACTTGGCACCATTTGGATCAATAAATAAAATTAAAAAAAAAAAAAGAGAGAAAGGAAGAACGCGTTACGTAGATGGCACACTATGGTATCTAAATAAATAACATAAGTTACTTCGAATAAATAGAGAGTATCTAAAATATAGATGCATTGCATCAACTTCTGCAGATGGTCGGTCAGACCCGACAATACCAGAAGGGAAATGGGTTTATCCGGATGGTGCTGAGCGGAGTCGCGGGCTGGACCATGCCCTCCCACCCTGTTCCCGCCGATGCGGTGAGACGAGTCTCCCTTTTCTTTTTCTTTTTTTTTTTCTCTTTTTTTTTTTTTTTTTTTACCCCCTCCTTTTGGGTCTCAAATTTGAGGCTACGCCTTGTTTAACCAAGAACGAAAACATGTGGTAGCCCTATTTACGAAGGGAAGGAGGCTGAGGTTTCCAACTCCGCCAAAAAAATAATTTGTCTTGATAAACTGGGAAAATAATTTCTTCCCAGCAAGTTTCTGGTCCTGTTTAAATACGGAACAACTCCCTTCGCGAGGGCTTTCATCGAGTGGAAACAATGATGTTAGACCCATTTCCCCCTCACAGATACCAAATCAGGAGAGAAACCGTATCAGCAAATGGGATCCCAACCGCTGCGAGTGACGGGTGGATCCGAGCCAGAGCCGGAGCTGCGGCGCTTTGGCCGCCTCCTGCACCGGCCGCGTTACACAAACACAGGCGCGGACGTGGATAGACGTGTAGAGTAAAACACAATGAAACGGCCCGTAACTCATTGTCAGAGAGCTGGGATAACATAACACTCGTATTTTGTGCTGTCACAACCACCAGAATAGTTTTAAACAGCTCCTCATGTTTCCCAAACCTCCTGATTTTTTCAAAACGCTGTGAAACCCCCTCATCTCCCGGGGAGCGACGCCGCTGCAAACAGCAAAGCTGCGGCAGCGGATAGGCAAGCTGCAAAAAAAAAAAAAAAAAAAAAACAAAAAAAAAAAAAAAAAAACAACCCAAAAACCCAACCTAAAAACACCCCCCTGACAGATGTTGCACGCTATTTATTATTATTAACATTAAATAACCCATGGGATGATGAGGAAGGAGCCAGATGAGATTTTGCTGTAGCTCTGAGCAGGGAATTTTCCATCCTTTTTTGCCCTTTCTGCATTGTAGACATTCTTCCGGACAGCTCCAGCTCCTATTACAGCAGAGAGGGCTGTAGAAATGGAAAGCATTAGGGAAATATCAGCCTTTCTATTGGAACCACATTTCCATGCCCAGGCGGCAGCGAGGCGGCGCAGGACGGCGCGGGTTGAGCAAAAGCTCCTGCAGCGGAGCCGGGGGAACATCGCGCAGAAGACGCGCCCCGAGTGAGACGCACGGCAGAAGACATGCAAGCAAAAGCCATCCTTCGGCCACGGCCGCAATGCCCCAGCTAACCCCGAGACTGGGTCTGGGAGTTTTGTGGTCGCAAAATCCCCAGCTGCAACCCAGCTGCACCCCAAAAAAAGCAGCGGGCGCGGTGCGGCAGATGTCAGGCGCTTCCCCCTACACCTCTGCACAGGCCGGGGCTCAGCTGCCGGCGGGGTGAAAGGAAAAAAAAAAAAAGAGGGGGAAAAAAAAAATAAATTAATTGGAGCTATTCATGTTGGTTTGTAACAGACGCATTGAATCGTGGGGTTTGTTGTTTTTTTCCCCCAGCAAGCCTAGATTTTTGGGGTTGCAAGCTGGATTTGTGCTGCGCATGGGTACCCCTGGGGGTGTTTTGCAGCTGGAAGGTATGAGAGTGGGGCTGGGGTGCTCCAGCACCCTCCGCCTGCTCCCGAACCCCCCCCTGCTCCCAGCAAGACCCTGGCGAGAGGAGGGTCCCCTTGGGCTGGGAGACCCGCCAGCCTCTCAGTCTGGAAATCACGGCACGCTAAACCCCTAGATATTGTAGAAAAATTGCCCAAACCAGGGTGCAAACAGCCCCCCCCGGGGAAATGCAACAGCTCGGACATCTCCCCGCCACCTCCTTGGGCTCAGGGGAACTCCAGGAAGCTCTGCTGCAAATCCCCCTCCCACAGTGCCTGGTCCTGCACTGCTTCCACAACACCTTACCTTGCTTTATTGCCCCAGTTCCCTTCTTTTTTTTTTTTTTTTTTTTTTTTTTTCCCCCCCCCTAGCCCGAGGTGTTCCCTGCTGCCCGGTGCCAAGCCCGGCAGAGCAGCGGGGCGGCTCGCTGGCTTTGCTCGAAATGAGGTGTTTTGCAAACAAATGCAGGAGCTTGTACCAACTCTCACCACAGACACTAGATTGTCTTAT